TGGAGTCAACCATGTGAGATTCAGTTGCCTTAACCTCTGTGCCATTTACTGTCCCTGAAATACCAAAATTTTAACAATACTATGTCCATACAATGCATAGAGCCCTGATGGCAGGACTGGCCAATCATGTTGTTGCAAATAATAATTAAGTAGATGTATCTTTTCATTAATATGAAAAAAAATACATAGAGCCTTTTCCATGGCTCAGCAGTAATGTACTGCTCAAGGGAAGCTGGATCCCACATGGTGACTGTGTTTTGAATTGCTGCTTGGTCAGCCTGAAACACACCAGACATGTGTGCAAATACTTAAGATCCGATGGGCTGTATGACTGGAGGATGGAGATTACGATGTGACCAGACTCTGTGGAGTGTGCTCCTTTTTCTCTCATGAGTGTGTGCGTATGCTCTACCATGAATTAAATACATACATACATACATACATACATATGTAAGTAGATGGAAAGGAGAGAGATACATAGACCCCCATGGTCAATTTGGAATGCATGCCAACTTAAAGACATAATTCTCTGTTAAAAATTTTCTGGGCTTCTACCCTCAAATGAACTGGGTTATACAATATTCCTTCATTTAAAAATACTCATATGCTTAAAAAGATAACCCAAAAGGCAGCTCTATTTAGGAAAACATGAGACACTTCACTCCTGATACTAACTAGAAGTATCCAAATGGTAGCGGCACTGCTGGAAAGAGTCATTAACTTCCAAATTCACTGAGGGCTTGTCACTTGACTCAAGTTTTTGGGAGTCTCTATCTTGCTCTCTTGTCAGTTGATTTTTCAACACTCGTATTTCTGATCTAGCCACCATTCTGGCTTACCATTACCTGGAATCAATGAATTTGAGTCCACTCTGGAAACTCACTCCGTGGCCACCCTCTAGACTCTTTCATTCTCCAGAACCGTCCTACCTCTTAAGTAGTAAGATGTAATACCACCCTTGGTCATCACCTCCTCTTCTAGCTCTCTCGCTCCTTCACTACTGTTATACATGTTCTTTTTTTTTTCTTTTCTTTTTTTTTTTTTTTTTGAGGCCGATGTGGGTTTCAAACCATAGTTGCCATTGTATGTCCTGCAAGGCACCAGCATCACCACGGTGCTGTGATGGCTGGGACATGTTTGTTTTGTTTTGTTTTGTTTTCTAATCAACACTTTCATTCCTTCAACCTTCAACTTTCTGAGTTTTCTAGTCCCTGACTGAACAAATTCTTTTCCTCACAAATCCTGAGTATGTCAGTTGACGCTCCACCATTATCCTCAGCTCACTTGTACTAAAGACTAACATCCCAAACAGCTGGCCTTGGACCAGTCCTCTCATAAACCTTCTTTGCAACTTTTCCACTCTTTGGGTTCTTTGGGAGATAATGGAGAAGCTTATAAGACAATTGAGATGAGCTATAATAAGTATCCAGCTTAAGAGGTAGAGTTCAGAAAAAGCAGTTTGCAAATCTCTCCATTTCTTTCTTTGGAAATTATTTCAGTTTCCTAATACTCTGTATTTTCTTGCCTATGATTATAGCTCTGGGGTGAAAACCTCATTCCTTTTTCTTCCTATGATGCGGTCCCATTTATGCAAACACAAGTCAGCAAAAGTAAGAAATAATAATATAAAAATTAGTAAAGTCTCAATTCATGTACAACATCTGAGATTATATAAATCCAGATTTTTTCAAGAATTTCATAATTTCAAAGGTAGTAGACTGAATGAATGATGAACTGTGTTTATGCTAAGGCCTCATGGTGAAGTCTCTAGCAAGGAAACATACTCTTCTTCCTTTGTCACTATTTTGTGAACCACTCATTTCTTTAGGTTAACTTTTATGTCAGGCTTCAATCATTATTCTTGTTATTTTAACCGTCCACTGCTATTATAATTTTAAATATTTTTGTATCTTCTAACAACGTAATAAATGCAAGCATTCATTATAAGTGGGTGTTAGAAGCAATGTTCAAAATTAGCTACTTTGGCACAGAAGTTAGAAATGAATGAGTAAAACTGCAAATAAAGCCAAATACTGTCGTGGCATGCTGTGCTGTTAATATGGAAACAGGCAATGTGAGAAATATTAGGAATAATGCTTAAAAATTAAAATCATAAATATATAACACATGATTAAAATTTTATATGCCCTGAGGATACAGCCTACATTCTTTACATTTATTATATTCAGTCCTTTAAATTTTGTAAGTTTTTTTTAGGTGTTTTGCAAATTCCTAGATGGAGCCAAACTCCATGTAGATAAGGAAATGAACCTGAAATACCTTTTTTAACTCTATCTATCTATCTATCTATCTATCTATCTATCTATCTATCTATCTATCTATCTTAATTTGACCAGAGAGGGACAGACAGAAAGAGAGAAAGCAAGCCACCTGGTACAGGACTCGAACCATGGTCAGCCATATGGGAGTCTGGCATTCTTAACCACCATTCCACCTCCCAGCCCCCTGAGATCTTTTTTTTTTTTTTTTGAGAGGTTTTTATATAAGGCATGTGCATTCTCCAGAAAGACAGAGATAGAGAGACAGAAAGCAAGAAATCACTCCCCAGGGAGGATGGCCATGCCACAATCCCTTCTACATTCTCCTCTCAGGATCTTGAGCACGCATGCACACAAACCCAGCGTGAGTTTAAGCCACCAGGTCCGGGACTCAAACCGCAGTTGACTACATGGGAGTCCAACGACATAGCCATTACACCAACTGCTGATCCCAAGAGATACATTTTTAAATAGTTTTTTTCCCCCTTGTTTGTGTGTGTGTGTGTTTTACTACAAAAACAACATATGTTGGCTACAGAGGAAAATTCTAAACAGTGTATAAACATGAAGAAAATCACCTAGAATCTCAGTGTTCAAAGGCTGACTTTGTCAAGTATTTTGGCAATTTATCCAGTTTTTTAGCTTTCTCTATATTTTTACATAATTTAGAAAAAATGCATACACAATTTTGAATCTTAATGTTTTTGTTAACCTTCAGGGAGGATTTGTCCAGACTCTAGGAACTATCTATGGACATTATAAACACTATACAATATCTCATCATATGATTTTAGCATATATACTAACATTACTCATAATGGTACTTTCCAAGTTTTGCCATTATAAGTAATAGAATGATGAATATATTAGGTTATATATTTTATTCTTAGTTTGAATCTTTTTCCCCTTGGGGAAGTTTCTTAGAAGAATTATTAGGTCAAATAGTATCTTGATACAGCTTGTTAAATTTCTTTCAAGAAAGATTAAACCAATTTGTAATCTTCCAGGCAACAGATAAAAGTATCCATCTCATCCTGTCTTCAACCCACTGAGTATCATTGTTTTTAAAAATGTTGCCAATTTTATTAGCAAATAAATCTAGTTGTCATTCACATCTTTTATCATTTGTATGTTGGTTATTTTCCCTATAATTATTAATTATATAATTGTATTTCCTACTTCGTAAATTGCTTGATATGCATCCTTTGCTCATTTCTCTAGGATAATTAAGATTTTTCCCTGCTGATATCAGTAAGATTATAATAAATAATAAAGTGGCATTATGAATCCTTTGCTTCCCTAAATTTTCTGATTGTTCTCACCTATTCTTTTACTTAATTTTCAGAATCTTGAAATTCTGACAGAAAACAAAATCCACTGGGATTTTTTTATTGTCATATTAAATTTATAAACTTAATTTATTTCAGATTCCTAAAATGTAGCTATTCCGTTTTATTCAAGATTTCTGTTTCAGTTATGTTTTGGTGCATGCTTAAACAAGCAAACAAACTTAATATAAGCTTCAAATTTTTCTGATAGTCTCTCCTCTGTGGCATTCAGATGGTAGCTGGATCTGGAATCCTGCTTCAACTACGCAGGACATCCCAGGTAGCTTCCTCACTCAGAAACCATACTCATCAGTGTTCCTCCCCATGGCCTCTCTCCAGCAGACTAGCCTGGAATTCTTAGATGGTGCCTTAAGGCCCCAAGAAATTGAAGCAATCTTCTTCAGAACAGACTTAGAACTTACATAGGGAACGAACACTTTTACATCATTCCACTGATCAGATCAGTCACCTGTACAGCCCCCAGATTTAAGACTCAGGAATATTCACTTCCTCTGGGAAGGAGAAAGTGGCCTCGACAGACAGGAAGGTCTGCCATCTTTGGAAATAAACTGCCACATCTTCTTCTATTGATTCTTGGTAAAATATTCCTCACAAAACTATTTTATTGGGTTGTCAGAAAAATCATGATATATTTTTCTGTTTTACTATGCAACATGCGTCATGACTTTTCCAACAACCCAATAAATCTGTGTTTCCAACGTAATTTGTATGTTTTTTTCTTTTACAATTTCTTAACTAGTTAGTGCTTATATAAAGGAAAGCTATTGTCTTCTTATTCTGATCCTTCTCATTTAATATTTTGGTTCTAAGTAGGTAATCATGCTATTTTAAGGTAATTTATCCCTTCTTTATTAGTGGTTAAGTCTCTTATTTCTGTCTCTTGTCTACTGCACTATTAAAGACTTCCAGAATAAGGCAATAGGAAGCAGCATTTTTCTGTTGCATAATTTTTTAAGTACAAATATATTCAAGCTGTAAACTGGGCATTTTTTTTTATTAACATACACATTTCTCAGAGCTAAATTAAGTCACTTACTTTTATGGGTTGATGTAATACAAATGAATAGAAAGGTATGTTCTTATTCTAGATAAATTGAATTCAGGAGGGGGGCAATAAAACAAGATGAGGAATAAAGGGACCAATGTACTTCGGACACTGCAATATTTTTCTCCCTGAAATTTATGAACAAGAGTAAATCATAACCATACAACATTCTATTGACTCCTACCAACAGCTAATGTCTCTAAATAAATATAAAACATCATAAATCTTAGCAATTTCTCCTTACTTCCTAAGCTTGACTACTTGCACTGGCTGCAACGAGTCCTCTCCAGAACATAAGTAAGCACAGGAAGATGGCTTTGTACTTACATGTGGCTGAAAATGGTATGGTGGAGTGTATTCGGCAGAATATGTTGTCAGTGTACTCCTAAGAGGGATACATCAATATTTGAGAAATCAGGACTCCAAAAAGGAAAATATTTTAAACTTTTAGTGGTATGTACTTACATGAATGAAAACATTTCAGGAAAGCCCGGCCCTGGTGAAAATTTAAAATCCTGCAACTGCCCCATTCCCTGTTATTAGTGTTACCCCGCACCAGCAGAGTGCCCCTTCTTTGTTTCTTTTTTCCATTTCAGCACCATCTACTATTCTCCCCCATAATGATATTTGTGGTTATCAAGTTCCAAGTCCCTGAGCTTAGGTGCTCTGCATTCTAGGAATTCTCTTTACCCACTTTCTGCCTCTAAAAGCTTTTTGACTCTATGCCCAGCGGCTTTCTTTGCTAAGTGACAGCAGATGAGATAACAAAAGACAACTAAGTTACACTGACAAGCAGTAATCTGACAATGTTCCCAATAACCAATTAGAAATGCTTGGGGGACAAAGTACACTGAGCCCCCACAGTCTATGAGCATACCAAACTCTGAGATGCTAGACATGAAAAGGATACTTATTACAGTGGGAAACCATAAACGCTGACCTTCAGGGGCCAGCAGGTGGTGTGGTGGTTAAGGGCGCTGGACTCCCACATGGCTGACCATGGTTTGAGTCCTGGACCTGGCAGCTTGCCTTCTCACTTCCCCCTGTCTCTGACTCTCACTCTGTCCCTCTCTGATAAAATTTAAATAAATAAATTTAAAATAATTTAAAAATACATCTCTTTTAAAAAAATGCCGATATTCAGAAGCTAGAGGGTAGACAAGAATGTGAACCAGAAGTCAAGGGCAAGAGGCATGGCCTTAGGTTCACACAAGGCAAAAAGCTAAATTCCTATTTATAGCCAAGACTCTACAAAGGCTGTGCAGTACTCCCACGTAAAAAAGACCAGGAAAGTCCCAGCTACCAATTCAGAGAAAAGTACAAGAGAGTTTTTCTCTTTGGAGCTTGGGATGGGAGGTGAAGAGAGATCCGGGGTGGGGTGTGGATTTTAGATAGTCTGAGAATTACAAACCTAAAAATACTGGGACGTAAAAGAGTTTTTTGTTTTTGTTTCTGTTTTGTTTCAATACATGGTTGAGCTGGTGAAAAAGGAAGAAAATTCGACAAGAATCCCAGTATAACAAGTCCAATTCAGATGGGCTATTGGGTACAAGTGCTAGTATTTACCCTGCTGGTAACTACCAATTACGGCTGGCCTCTCAGAGGTGGTTTCCAGAGTAGCAGCCCCAATAGCACCTGGGAACTGGATCAAATGCAGACACTTGGGCTTTACCCCAAACCTACATTCAGGGGTGGAGGGGAGAGCAGCATCTGTAATCTGTAGTTTAATAAGCCTTCACAGGCATTCTGAGACACAGTAGAGTTTGAATATTGATGATTAAAATAACAGAAACCGGAAATGAAACTTTCAAACCAGCAAATGATTAAAAACAACAACAACAAAAAAGAAAAATGTAATGGAAAGCAGAAAAGGAGAATAAGAATAAAAGAAAGAAGGAAAACTTGGTGCCAGCAGGTGGCCTGGTGTCTATGGCACTGGTCAACTGCAGTTTGAGCCCCAGACCCAGGGTTTGAAAATCATGCCAGGCACATGTACACGTGCGCCCAGAATCCTAAGAGGAGAATGAGGGAGAAGGGATTGTGGCATGGTCACCCCTACTGGGGGGTAATTTCTCACTTTCCCTCTCTCTGTCTCTCTTCAGCAAGTGCATGTGCCCTATGGCAAAAACCTAAAAGTAAATAAGGAATAGGGAAAAAAAATCATTTCTGCTCATAGGAAAATTAAAATCACAAAAATAAAGTTAAACATCTTAGCAGTCACAGTGAAAGTAAAAGGGTTAAACCCATCAAGAAAATATATCAAACTTAAAATGAACATCAAAATATATTTTGGAGGTCGAGGGATGGTACAGTGGTAGCGAATGATCTGTGATGCTGGACCCACACAGCAAGGTTCCAAGGTCAGTTTCCAAGGTCTCCCTCTATATGCTGGTACATATATTCCCATGACCTGGGCTATCTGAGGCTGGGATTGGATCACATTATAAAGACGCGATTGGAGGTTTCTCTGTCTCTCTCCTTGCTCATGAAATGGATAAGCTTTAAAAGTATTTTTTTAATGTCCAACTATGGCCATTGTGCTGGCCAGCCATGGTGACACGGGTATAAGGCATACTGGAGCCATATCGGAGGCCCTGACTTCATATCCTGGGTTAACCTGAATATACCACACAGACACCAGTCCAAGACGCCGGCTGGCTAGAAGGCTTGTGAGGAGGATCTCAGGATCAGACACTGTCAAAGGAATTGTCTCCCTCCCTCATAAAAGAAAGAAAGAAAGCAAAAAAGAAAGGAAGGAAGAAAGAAATAAAGAAAGAAAGAAACTTTCTAAAACATCTATGTACTTTTGCTCCTAAAATAAAATTTTCAAAGGAAACTTGAAAGTAAAAGTAAATTTAAAAAAGTAAATATTAATGAAAATAAATTATACTTGCATTAGTATCATATGTAAGAGACTTTAAACCGAAAATTACTAGTTGTAACAATCATTACTTACTGATTAAAAAAAAAATCACAAAGACGATACAAAATAATTCTAAATTGATAAACCTAACATACAGAATACAGAAGACAAAAAATTTTAAAAAAGAATTAGAAAGACAAAATGATGAATCCACAGTCAAAGAGGAAAATTGTGATATATTCTTCAAACCTTCAGTTCTTTAAATTCAAATCTATACATATATCCTCTAAAACCAAACGGTCCAACCACACAGAAAATGAAATCACACAGTTGCTCACAAGCAGCATAGAATAGAGCATAGAAAATACCACAAACTTCCGTTTACATGTCGGTAGAACAGTCCACAGTCAGAGCCAGAGCAAAGCCCATACTGCAACATAACCAAGCAGGCATTACATGGAAGAGTGGAGAGGGTAACAGGCCGCTGGTGGGGATGGAACCCAGAGGATGTCACCTTCTGAAAGAGAGCATCGTGCACTGATGGGAAGATACTAAGAACAGGTCTGAGACTAGAGGATCTGAATCATGGCTTTCCAAAAATGTATGGAGGACCAAAATGGCACTGTTCCTGGGGCAAGTAAAAAGGAAAATAAAAATAAAAGCCAAGCACCAGAAATTAGAGATCCTAGAGCTATGAGATAGTATCACAATATCAGTAGACCACGCTCTCCCACCTCTCACCCACACTCAAAAAGTGTCATTTGGGACCAGCAGTTAGTGTAATGGCTATGTCGCTGGACTCCCACGTAGTCGACTGCGGTTTGCGTCCCAGACCCGGTGGCTTAAAACTCATGTCGGGCGTGTGTGCGTGCATGCCCAAGATCCTAAGAGGAGAATGGAGGAGAAGGGATTGCGGCGTG